CTCCTGCCTCAGCCTGCTGAGTGCTGAGATTACAGGTGTGCTCCATCACACCTGGCAAAATGTACTTTTAACCATTTTTAATTGTACGGGTCAGTAGAGTTTAGTACATTCACATTATATAACCAATCTTGGGAAATCTTCATTTTGCAGAACTGAGACTATACCTGTTAAACAGAATCTCTCAATTTTACCCTTCTACCATTCCCTAAAACTGAACCAATTAACTCTGTCCAAATCAAATCAAAAGCGAGCCATTGCCTCACTTAGTCAAAGAATGAAATCATGGACAAAAAGGAGGACAAAAAGTAGGAAGTATGAAGAAAGTAAAAGCTCTCAGCTGAAACACGGCCCCCAAGAGGGACCCCATGTCTAGAACATTTCATGGACAAGCAGAGCGTGACAATATGCTCAGCTGTCCAGTGGCCACCTATCGCAGGTGGCTTTGGGTTTCAAGTGGAACTCAGGCTCTCTAACCCAGATACTCAGCACACAGAGTTTAAAGGGAACCAGAGTTTAAAAGAAACCTGGTTATTTTGCATTTTTAAATTCCTCCAAACTGGGCTGTGAATATAAAGAGAAGTCACATTCCACTTTGGCTGAGAAACCCGTTTCCTGTTCAGTGTCCTACTGCCTCAAATTATTTCAATTCCTATTAATCAGGTATACAGCCAATTCCACTTTGGTCTCTGTTCCTTGCTAGCCTATTCCTAAACTAAGCAGCTAAGATGCCCTTACACAGCTAGCATTCTACTTTCTGTCCCTGTGAATTTAACTGCTCCAGGTAGCACATGTAAAGGAATTCTTACTTGCAACTGATATGTATATCTATATCTATCTATCTATCTATCTATATTATATGTAGAGAGAGAAAGAGAGAGAGAGATAGAAATGTATTTCTATATATATAGGTATATATTTGTGACTGGAATATTTCACTTAGCATACTATCCTCAGCATTTCTTCAATTGTATATATGTCAGAATATCCTTCCTTTTAAAACTGAATAATATTTCATTGTGTATTTATCCCATTTTGTTTATCTGTTCATCCATCTATTGACACTTGTGGCGCTTTTAAATTTGACTGTGGTGAAAAATGCTGCCTTTAATAGGGGGATGTAGCTATCTTTTTTGAGATCCAGTCTTCCTTTCCTGTTATCTTTTTCTTTCTGATAAGGGCCATTCTTACTTAAGTGCCATGATCTCACACGTTGGTTTTGATTTGCGTTTCCCTGGTAATTAGCTATATGGCACACACTTTGTAATTGTGGGGGCAGTTCTATATCTTCTTTGTTAAGTAAAGGCAAAAGTAAGGTACAGTAGTCAAATGCCACAGATTGAGGACTTAACTGGCCTACTTTATATGTTATTTTCTTTCAAAGAATTTGTAATCTTCACCATTTTTAACACTTTAGTTTTACTTTTTTTCTTTAAAGTGTACAAGTACATTTAAGACTCAATCCCATCTTTTGTTCCATCATTATTTTTAAAGATGTGCAATTGAATAATCAAAGAATAGCATCTTAAATATTCATATTGTCAGAACACTATCAAACTTAATTCGATTCAGTAATTTTTGCAAATCCAGGTTAGAGGAAATATTAAAACAATTTTAGTTTCGTTCTTCATGCATATTTCATTCAATTCTTGTTAATTATTTATTTTGGAAGATGTTCAACTCTGGTGATTTTTAGGAACGTTGAATTATTTTATTTCATTTCAGTAAACATTTAGTACTTAAAATATAAAACACCCATTTGTTGATGGTTGAAAAGTATTTTCTTCTAGCTAGAATATTCTACCAACTGGAGTAGCTGTTACTCTGATTTAAATATTGGTCACCTTGCCCATTAGACTTCAGCTTGTGTCTGTTTCTAAGTGTTTACTAGTGAATCACTGACTTTAGTGTAATTTCAATGCTAATTTTTGCTTCAGGTTTTCAAATGCCTCAATAGAAAGACTTTAATGATTATTCATGCTTGAAGAAGAATTGATAGGGGAATGAGATTACAATCTTGTACAATTTTAGCTAACAAATTAAAGTATAAATTAAATTTTGTTTAGACAGAAAATACTTATTTGAAGAGACAAGAAAATGAGAAACTGCATTCACTTTTAATTTTCCTTTGTCCTGTTTTACAGATATTCAGAGTATCAGAGGGCTAGCAGTGGACTGGGTCTCCCGTAATTTATACTGGATTAGTTCTGAATTTGATGAAACCCAAATTAATGTGGCAAGGTTAGACGGCTCTTTGAAAACCTCAATTATCCATGGAATCGATAAGCCGCAGTGTCTTGCAGCTCACCCAGTCAGGGGGTAAAGTATGATTATTTTTTTTAAAAGTTTTTTTCAAAATTTCACACCTTTACACTGACTTTATGTAAAAGCATTGTTTAGAAGATAAATATTCATTGAGTAAGTGAATCAAATATAAACATGAGATACCTCTGATTAAAAATTTATATCCTCATAAAACATGATTACACATTTTATAGGATCTTATTAATTTATGCTTACAAGAAATGACCATTTGGAATAAAAAGAGATGTGGGGAAAAGCCATTGATTTCATGTCACATGCCAGCTTTTTGTAACCCATTTTCTCCATGTCGATCATATGGTCATTGGTAAGTGGATTATGTCTCACATCACATCTTCTGAGTTGTTGTGTACCTCTGAGCAAGTTTGTTTAGGGTGAAAAGAAATTCATTCTTCTTATTGCTTTTACCAGGGATGGATGAAATGAGTTTATCCTCATTAATGCATGATTTCTTCTTGGCCAAAGAGGATTCAATCTTGATGAATTACCTAAAATGAAAATAATTTACGATAGTCATTGCTAAGCATTTAGGTTTGCACGTAGGAGGAAAAACAGATTGAGATAATATTCCCTCAGTGACAGGAAAAAGTAAGAGTGGTGCTTTCTTCCTAGGCAAATATGTAAGATATTGTCAGCAAATGGCTTGATAGTTTTTGGCTTTTCTGAAAGGAATTAATCCCAAATCATTAATATATTTTGATGTTTCCTTTGTTCTTTGCTATCTTTCTACTTAACAAAGAAGTCTGCATCTAATATTTTAAATCTATACCTCTTTTACATTAAGGAAACTCTACTGGACAGATGGAAATACAATTAACATGGCAAACATGGATGGGAGTAATAGCAAGATTCTTTTCCAGAATCAAAAGGAGCCAGTTGGTAAGTATCTTATTTAAAATATTAAACCACTGCAGTTTTTAATGTGACACATCTTTACTTGTACAATATATTTTGTTCTAGAACCTGAAAGAAAACATTATGGATTAGTAATAAAAATAAAATGAGAAATGGATCAATTTCAGTGAATCCACTGCCTCTACGGAAGGTTTAGGGCAGCCTCTACTTGTGGCCTGCTAGTTTGGGTCTTTTCTTTTATAAAGGGTAAATATATAGGGAAAAGTTCTACCTAGAAAGTAACAGAAAATTGTAAGGGTAAAATTGAGCTTAAACACCTGACAAAAATCACACCAGCCCTTACGAAAAAGAGTGGGAAAAATAGAAAAAGACTTCAACAGCTATCAACGGCACACTGTGATGAAGGACATAAGACTGGCTCACCTGCTAAGGTGGGAACCAGCTCTTAAGGATTAGCTGCTGGGCTGGAGTGCTCGTGGTCATGACCGCAGTCCTGATATCATAGCTTTGGAACCCTCATTGCTGGAAGTGAAGTTCTGATCCATGAAATGATTGTCTCTCTCGGTAGTAGTCAATCCTCCTTGAATCCAGCTGATCAGAGGGTTAGAACAATGGCTAGAGACTCCTGGGAGTTGTTGAATGTTCCTATAAACAGATTATCTTAGTGTCTTTGGTCTTGAAGAGTCTGTCATTGTGTGAATTCATGGCTAATCAACCTTGTTTTGCCAACTTTTATATAGACATGCCCTGAGCGATGAACATAGGCAGAACTGAGAAGGAGTTTGAACTAATGTTTTATAGTAACAAAGGATACAAAATAAAGTGAAGTAGTGCTCTGCTGCTTACATAGTGGACATCTGTAGGCCTAAATGCAGAGTTATAGTTTTAGCAAAAATGGCTTCTAAGTCCCTGACTCCCAGAAGAAAATATAATTTCTGTTTAGAATAAGCAGTAAGCTAACAGCCTAGCTTCTGCTCATCTCCACCTCTGATTATGTCACAGATGTCTGTGTCCCTGCTTTATTCTTTATTTTTCTTAGGAGCCTCAGGAATCTAAATTGCTTCAGTTCACATTAACTAACTTTAGTGCTGTAATTTTACACAAATAACTGTTAGCTTGACAGTGCTTATTCTTTTACCTGTATCATTGAGAAAAAATGTCCTATTTATAATGTTCTTATGAGAGTTGAATGAGAAAATCTCATGAGGAAAAACTTGTAATCCTTAATAAGAGAACCTGTCCATAGTAGCAACACTTTACACAATAGGTCCAATAGGTTAGATGTTAAATTGTCTATAGTATAGACTATAAGTGAGTTTAGTGAAGAATAAAAAAAAATAGATTCACAGAACTCTGATGAGAAAAGATATGTAACCACATGGACAACTCTAAATTTTCACGCATATATGAGGATTTAACTCTATATTATATTGTTGCAGTCCTAAGAGATAAATGCATTTGAGTTACATAAGTTGTACTCTCAGATTTTGCCAGTAAAGGGTCAGGGCAAAAGGACAATTGGATGCCACTTTGCTCTTGCTGTTCTTTACATACTTGAGAAAACCAGACTTGGTGCACAGGTCTACAATTCCATCTGCTGGGGAGGCCAAATAGAAGCCTTGCATATTGTAGTCCAGCGAGAACAATTTAGAAGGACCTCATATGAAAAGAATTACAAATAGGCATGACCTATAAGTGCCTTCTATCAACCTACTTTACTTTAGCTACCTAGTTTTATAAACCAAATGATAAGATCAATATTATTCCCACTGCAAAATGAAAAACAAAATGACCACAGTTGTGTTGTCCATCCAGAAAGGTAACAGCTTACCTTAATTTTAATATTTCTGAAATCCAGGTGCTCTGTGCCAAGCACCCAGCCTGCTGCATTCTGTCACACAGAAACCTTCTGTAAAATCCTTACTAAATTTAGATTCACTGAGGAGTAGATCAAATTTAGTTTAGTTTAGTTTGGTTTTATTTAGTTCAGTTTAGTTGTTTAGTTTCATTCAGTTTAATTTAGTTTAGTTTAGTTTAATTTGATTTAGTTGGAATTAGAGATTGAACCCATGGCCTTCACACTGAATAACATTCTCTGCCATTTCAAATTTTTTTTGTATTGAGGCAGGGTGTTGCTAAGTTCCTAAATTGTAGGCTAAGCTCAGAATTGCAATCCTCCTTCCTCACCGTCCTAGAGTGCTGGAGTAGCTGTGCCCCACCTGCCTCTGTTATTTCCCAGCTCTATACCCCAAACTAAGAGTAAGGTTCAGTCCTGGCGGGTCACTGTTGTAGTTTATACATAGATGTCCTCTCCCAGCCTGATATGCTGAAAGGTAGGGCTTTTGTGAGGTAACTGGGTCGTAAGGGCGTTATAAGCATAGTGGATTAGCCCACTGATGCGCTGATAGACAAACGTGCCATTAGGAGGTGGGGCCTGTGTGGAAGAGGGGCGTGGCCTGGGAGGGAGTATCTGCCTCCCCAGCTCCTCCCTTTGCTGTCTGCTTCCCAGCTGACCATATGAGCAGTGTTTTCTCCCCTGTCCTCTTCTGCCACGGCATCCTGCTTGGAGCTAGCCAACCGCGACTGCAAGCGTGGGCCAAAACAAACCTCTCCTGTTTTAAATTGTGGGTAATGGCTTTTCTGTCTGAGTGGTGAAACAGGGACTAAGACGGTCACGAACATCTTTCATAAGCATTTTTCATACTTAACTGCAAAACTAAGTCAATTAAATTGTTCAGGGTCCAAGTAGAAGTGAAAAAAAGCACATTTAATAAAAACATTCAAACTGGGTGCAGGGGTGGATGCCTATAGTCCCAGCACATTGGGAAGCTGCTGGAGGACGATCCCAAGTTTGAACCCAAACTAGGCAACCTAGTGACTGAGACCCTGAGTCTAAATAAAAATAATAACAAACAAACAAGCAAACAAGGACTGAGGATGTAGTTTAGTGTGAAGGCCTTGAGTTCAATTCCAAGTACCACAAAAATTCAAATTAAATTTAATACAATCATGTTAATGTTTAATTCTGTACAGTGAGTGAATGTAATCATCTTCTATTTTCTGTGTTGAATGACAACTCAAGATATCAACCACACTGTTGGTGAGACAAATCTGGGCTCTTAGTTTATAGCAGCAAGCAAAAGTAATGACTTAGCTGAGTCTTAAGATTTCAGAAAGGTAACGACAAAATCAACAGAGTAATTCAAATTGAAAAGTCTGATTTAAAACAGGGCCTTCAGTTAAAGTGCTGGTTATGATTGAGTAAGGAGTAATACACAGTAACTGCACTGGTGAATGTACAGAAAGAGTGTGAGACGATGTAATTCAAACAGTCTCAAGGTATAAGCAATCATTTGATTCTCTCTTTTTTATTTTTTTTGCTAAAGAGCTAATATATCTTTTAGGAATTTCCTGAAATGAATAATAATATCTACTACTTTCAAATTTGTGGGTAAAATTTTCTTGGAATGGTAAAGTTATGTCATTGAAGACAATGGAATAGTAAAGCTATGTTAATGTACACCATAAGCTGTGATTTGGGGTTTTATTCATACTCCTACAGTTAAGTGTTTTATAGATTCTTTTGTTTTTAACTCTTTTTTAAAGTGTGTGAGGACATCCTTTGTAAAAAAACAAAATCTGTGTGTGTGTGTGTGTGTGTGTGTGTGTGCATGCTTGTATGATTTATTGCAAGGATTTGGCTAAGTGTACCTGGAGACCAGCTGGGCACATCTGAGATCATGGGACCAGCTAGAATGAAGGGCAGATGACAGACTCTCAAGGCAGGGGTTGAGCCTGCAGAACACGGACTAAACTTCCTTTTACCCAAGGAGACCTCGGATTGGTCTTTTAGTCATTTTAACTTGTTGAATCAGTCTTGTACAGATTTTTGAGGATAATTTTATTACTAAAGTTTATCTGATTGCAGATTATATTAAAACACCTCTAGAGAAACACTTAGATTAGGGTTTAATTGAATAACTATGGATCATAGCCTGGCCTTTTTGACATATAACACTGATCCTTAGTTTTGAAGACAAATGTTTCCTTATTTTATCCAATTATATATATATATACACACCAATTATATTTATATATATATATATATGCATATACACACACACACACCCATATATTTCCAAATGAAGCAGTTCTGTATATTTTGCTCTAAAATAGGTTTTCATAAATGATCACCTAAGATCAGCACACAATTTCTATTAAAGAGAGATTGTAGGTGACCAAAAATGCACTTAGGAATTATACTTTCTGAATGGAAGGTGGTAAATGATTTTATTATACTGAATTTACCCTATGATGACTATGATATTAATTGTTATGTAAATTGTCACAATATGTTCTTTTTAGCCAAAGAGGAGAGAGATAAACATTGTTCAAATTAGTCACAGATGTATTCATACATCGATACTGAGGGGAAAAAGAGGAAAATTAACAACTCCATATTAAGCACTTCTTAAATCTGAGTTCGTGTATGAAGTCTCTCCTAGCTTAGGGTGTTGTGCTGTAGATGATACAAGGGAGACTTTCTATAATACTGATTATGTGGTTTTACATCTCAGGGAGAAAAAGAATACAAAACTTTGTTTATATGTAGGAATCTTGAAGAAAACCGCAACAAAAAGAAAAAAAGTTGAGCTTCAGTAATGTGAAAAGATAATAATAATAATAATAATAAATTACTGATGATAATGGTGATGGTGGTGTGAACCTTGGTAATGTAATATGAGGAAGAAAACAATTGCGGACCATTTTCTCATGGAGTTTATAATTTAAAAACAATGCAGTGTGACCAAATCTTTCCATGTCAGTCACATTTTCCTTCTTTGATTTTCATTCAGTTATTGGGCTTCTTCCACTGACTACATTTTCACAAATTTTTATTTACTTTAGTTCACTTTCTTTATCTAATAAGTCAAGTTCTCTTTCCTTCTTACACCTTCCTTGATCTTCCAGACAAGGCCAAAATCTGTTACAACAAAGAGTTGGCATCATGTATTTCCATTTTC